ATGTCATTTCGCTATAGTTAATTCGTTTACCTTTCGCATGAAGGATTCCTCTGAGTATTTCTCGACCAATTAGAATCATTTAATTTCAGCCAATCATTTTACTCTGTATTGTATCTTTTTCTCCCGCGTACTTACATTTTGTATTTCCCGCTTACGTGTTTTCTCTCACGTTCGATACGCACCTATATAAAGGGCTAGTTTCGGAGTTACGGGGCTCCTTATTCATGTGTTACATGTTTCTATGCCAGTTTATCCAGCAATAAACCATACCGTGTTTTGCATCCACATTGACTGTTTATTCTGCCATCAAGTTCAACTGAAGCGTATTATTATACCCCACAGGGCGCTTACCCGAGGACCACCCCAAAAAAGATTTTAAAAAGTTGTTTTTGTGATTGTATGATAAGGTCAAATAAAGGAATGGTTTCGTACACTTTGTACACGTACTTATTTCTTGATTTATGCGAGGTTTCAATAAACGTGAGCACTCGGTCAAGATCTGTGGGAACACTAAAACACAGGATTGAATTTCAAGAATAAAACTTGTTTTATGTCAGCGAATGAAGTTGTATTACTCACTGAAATTGACTACAAACTATGGTAAATATTGTAATCAATGCACGGTTACATTTTTAGTAACCGTGATCAGTGCAAGTTGAAATGGCTGGGAAAAAGTAACGCTTGTAATCCAAGAAGGCGATGACCTCATTAGCATAATTTTGTTCACGCACGTATTGATACATCGCATCGTAATTACTGAAGAATAGCAGACAGGGTTATGAAACCAAAAAACATTTTATTACTGATGTGAAATGTTTATAAACTAGTGTGAATACATAAACATATCCAAATGGCGATACATAAAAAACAGACTGAAAATAAACTCTGGTAGACCTCATTAACATGATTTATTCACGCACCCACACACATGACAAAATTATGATGCAACAAGTTCCCATCGTCGGCATGCCTCATTATGGTTATCGTAATGGACTTGAGGTCGACAAAATGTTTTTTTTCTTCAATGACAGAAAAATAATCCACATGACCGTAATGCCATAGCTGTGATGAGGGATGGAAAGAAAGTAGCAATGTCTCAAAAGTGCTAGCTCCCGTTCACAGTCAGCTGGCATCGGTGTCGCTGGGTGTATATGATAGAGGGAAGTTGTGCAACCAAATTTGCCGAGTTCGCAGTTTTTCGCCGATAAAAAAATAACTAAGGCAAAAACTCACGGTTTTTCAGCATTTTTGTAATAAAGACATTATCCTCTATCAATAATCCGCCCCAAATAGAAACATTTCCACTAATTCTTGTGTTTTTTCAACGTTTTTCGAAATACCAGCGATTAGGATGCGAAAGTAGAACATTCCGGAGGGGGTGAAACAGAAGAGCCAAACTTAACGCGTAAAAATAGAACGCGTATTTTGACCTCTACGTGGCCAACCAATGGCTGGACACGGATACGTTTTTAATTGTTGCCAAAGAGCCACGCGTCCATCGCCTGGTGAAGCTCTTCCAATGAGTTTTTACGTAAAAACACAAACAAAACGGCCCTTTTCAGGGCCACCACACACTCCAAAAAGAGAACTACCGTAACAAACACACTATTTAAATAAATCAAACGCGTTCGTTTTTGACAAATCAAACTTTATTGTTGACCTAATTCTTGGCTAAAAATCACCCTGGGCGTTTAACCGAGGATGTCCCCAACATGTAACTTTTGTGAAAACAGGGGGGTGGGCGCTTGCCCAGGGAGGGGCGCGTGCCCGGGGTAATACGGTACATCTAAAGTTAGAATATGTTCAGGGAATGACTGTGATATAGCTCTGGAACCAAATTTGTTAAAACAAAATGGCCACTAGCTGGCTATTTTGAATCTGATCTGAAAAACAAAATGACGTACATCAAGGCCCTATAATGTCAAAATCAAGTCAGTCAAGTACAAAATCTATCCATACACAACCAAGATTTGGTTCAAGAATGATCAAAATGCCTGATTTTGATGAATTTTTAGCAGCAAAAATGGCTGCCATTCGGCCATCTAGGATTGGATCATGAAACAAAAATATGTGATGTATTTGTTAAGTCTGAATGTGATCAGACTAGGCATGTGCAAGATTTAGGTGGAGATGCATGGATGCATGCACAGATGAACACATTCTGACTGCGTCTAAACTAGTACTACCAAATCAAAATTAGATTAGGAAATATTGTTGGAATTATAATATGTAACTCTTACATTATAACTCTTAGAATCAATTCCTCATATAAACATTGCCAGTAAGGTTGAATTGGCCTAATTTTTGAGATTTTCAACCGCTATGATGCTGATTACTACTCGATTTTATAAATTTGACAAACCCCACTATGGGCACTTAAAATACCACTGCTTTTTAAGTTTTTACATTGTTATCAATGTAGAATTTAATTGAAGCATAAGAACTAAAATATAACTGCTTTAAGCTTTCCATATTGTCATATATGAGAGTTGTACGAGATCAAAAATAGTTGTGCTGATCAAGTTTACATTGTTGTCTAATAGGAGAGTTTAACTGTTGTAAGCAACACTACAATCAGATGATGCTGTCAAGCACTCCTGAAGAGTCGGCTGTCAGCCTTATGGCCGGCTACAAACCCAAATTGGCCGTCCACTTTCTCCCCCATCGCCTACGTTGTCCTCACTGCAGCGCTTTGCACTGCTGAGAGCCTTTTTATTTATTTTTTACCTGTTGTTACATGATTATGGCCTGCTATTTAATACATTCGTGGAACCCCTGACTCCTCCAATTACAGTTATCATTATATAGATAAAACTAAGCTACATGAATTCATGTACTTACCGAACCCTTTGGTAAATACTCCTGGGCAAACTGTTTCCATGTAATTTCCACAGCACTACCACCAAACATAAAATAACTAATAAAAGCAGCCCCAGCTGCAGTTGCCAAGACACTGTAAATTAACTGCTGTCTCTCCTTATCATCAATTGGTTTTCTCCCCTTTGGAGTGCCACCACTATTACTACCAAAATAAGAATTCCATATATTATCTGTTTTATTTTCACTACTGCGACTACTGCTTCCTGTACTAGCTCTAGATGGAGGAGGTTTCTCTGGTTCTGGAAAAAAACAGGATATGTCCAATGAGTTTACAGAAAGCTTGAGATGTCATACGAGTATGGTGGCCAAGATATTTGTTTTATACTAGTGTTTGGTACCACGTTAAAGAGTTAATTTAACCTGATGTGCATCACAGATCTTATGTGCATCACAGACCTGATGTGCATCACAGACCTGATGTGCATCACAGATCTTATGTGCATCACAGACCTGATGTGCATCACAGACCAGAATCTTGATTTGTTTCTCATACAACCATTTAGGAGTTAGAGGATGACCCACTCATGTTGTTTCTGCGTCCAAGCAAACTTTGAATTGGACATTATATATCGAAAATTATGTTTTGGACATTAGTATCATGTACTAAGTTAATTGCACTTAGAGTAAACCCAATGCAGAAATCAAAACAACAATGCATGGCAGAATTGATTGAAGACGATAATAATGTGATCAATACACAGCAAAATATGTCAGTTTCCAGACAGGATAATCAGTGCTTGGAGATTGTAGATGCACTTCTAGTAGAGCATATATGTTATCTATAATGCCTCAGCAACATGTGTAATGAAATCAAAGCAATCTTACCTTTCACTTCCTTAGGTTTTGTTGATTGTGATGATTTAGATTTTGGTGCTTCTTTGTTACGACCCTTGAAGAACTTTTCAAAACCTTTCGGCGGTTTGGAGCAAAACCGCCTCCATTCTTGAACAACTTTTGATAAACTAGTAGTACTATGAAGCTGTAAAGTGATGGAGATTAGTTTCAATTTAATACAAGTACATGGGCTTGGCCTGGCTCTACTTCAACAGTGTTTCATTAACAAAATAAACACACACTCAATAAATACAATCTAATGCCAACAAATAATTAAATTACGTGGTTCTGAAAACATGAGTTTCAAAAACAGGTAAGGTAGGTCAGATTTTTTTTTTTAATATCACACTATTCACCCTTGCTTGTTAATTACTTAACAAAACTCATATCTAATGATGTTTCCCAATTTTGCTAAAATTCTGAATAATAAATTCACTTTCATTCAAGCCTTAATTGTGATTTCACATCATTTTTTTCATGGCCATATTTTTTTTTTGGCCTAAGAGTAAATCCCAATAAATACTTTCACATTTGTATTTATCATAAATTCTAGTGAGCAGTGGAATCTGCAGCCTGCGATGACCACTAACCAGTTCTTTCACTGACTCATTTGAAGTTTGTTTTGCAATTTAGTGATTGTCTCGCAATTCGCATGGGATGTTCATTGCATATGACATCAGCTGCATGTCCTTGTCAGTTAACAATGGTTGAAAACAGCAACTAAATGATGATGCAACCAACTTTGCAAGTTACAAATAATTTGAACAGATTATGGATGGTCTTACTCAGAACATCATATTACAAACATCAGTATATAGTTAACATATTAATTAAAATGTTGGTTGGGTGTATCACCGTACCGCAAATGGGGTTGCGTTTCTGGCATGAGTGTCATTAGTCGGCGAGGTATTGATCCTATACTATAGGCTATAGTTGTCGCGAGACAGGAGACATGGTAATGACAATACTACCAGTATTCCCACAGTCGTTTAGCACACACACGATTGAAAAAACATTGTATACACGTCTTAGAATAATTTTCCACGATAATATGCGCAGGTACTGGTCATCGTCATTCCTGATTGAACTGTACACAAACAAATATCACGTTTACTTTTGCTTACCCTTCTTGATTTGCAACAGCCGACTAGTGAGCAGCGTTGACCCATCAACACCCTCGGAAGGCAGTTTCTTTGCACTAACACCTCTAATGTGCGACTTAGTGTAACAGATCGGTAAGCCATTACAGCCTCTCAATAAGTTGCAGAAGCAGTATTATCAAAATTAAAGACGTATCACCACTGGCACCATCCTCATGCTGTTCTCACAGAAATAAATATGGCCGCTGCAATTCGCATGCGCATGTGCTATGACCTGCGGGTCGCAAGTAGCTGAAACGATTTCTTCTTTTTTCTGAGTTAACTACGGTGACAACTTTGAATCCATCTTATACAATGAGCATGCACTTAGGGGTTCTAGTAACAAAACTTCAAACCAATCACCGTACACCATAACATGTCGTATTTGTTTATGGATGCGTTACTTGTGTTCAGTCTTACAACAAAACATGCCAGAATATACCTGTCTAAGATGTTTTTCTATTA